CACCTGTGTGTTCCTTCTGGTTTTTCCTCATATGTCTCTCCTGTACCCCTGATTCCGGCATGACTCTACCCCCCTGACAAGTGTTGCCATCTCCACTGTGCCATCCCTGCTCTGTAACCTGTTGTGTGTTCCTTGTTTTTACAAGATGGGGTGGAGATACGACTCCTTCCACAGGTAGCCAGAGGCAACATATAGCAGCGTCTTCCTCCCTCCCTTGCTTTCTCCTCCTTTTTTTTTATAATTTTTTTTTTAATCGCGGTATAACATGTATAAGCATGGCGGAGTCGTCACGCCCAAAGCTGTAGCTCTTCTCAGACACACACCCGACCCGTGGCAGAGTGCTGCAGCATCGCAGGGAAGAGTACGACCACCGTGGAGGACATTTGGACACCTTAAAGAGTTTCTTGTGTGATGCCGAAGACCTTCCCTGACCCAGCAGGAGGATTGGCAGCGCCGGAGGGCGCTTTATCTCTCGGGTTTTGTCTTTTATTGTCTCGGGATATGAAGTGACAGTGTAGCTTGCAGACAAAGGCTTGGGATGTAACTGGAGACCACAGAACAGAGGAAGGCACGGCGGGAGGAGCTGGCAAGACATCGATACTTTGGTGGCATGCTGAGGAGCCGAGACTGAGGAGCCTCGGCAGAGTCTCGTTTGGAAGTTGGCTCTGTCTTTGGAGAGGTCTTCTCCAACGGTCACTTGGGCATCATGAATCACGAGGGGCAGAGGAGGAGAAAGGGGAAGCAGAAGAAGACCTCCAACCAACATCCTGGCCGTTGCCCGGGCCGGCGGACCCGACCGATGGACCGAGTGCTGATGGTCTGCGATGACCTTCCATCTGAGAATGGATATAGCTCTTCTGAGTGCTCGGAAACGGCGAACGGGTGTGAGGCGGCGAACGGGTGTGTGAAGGATCGCACCAGCGTCTACCTAGGATCCGTCTACTCCATCCGCTCGGAGCTGGAACTGAGAGAATTGTATGACTCCTCTTTTTCCGTCCGTCTCTTCTTCTCCCCTTGTGGTCCTTCCTGTGTTTGGGGTCATGTGTGGAGGCTGGGTGACTGGACACTGTGGGGTGGGATGTTGGGAGAGGAAACCAGACAACGCAGCTGTCAAATTAGTGCGTAGGAGGCAGGTGAAGTCTGGAGCCTCCTGTATGCATGAACAGGGTGGGCGACCTTAGCACTCCAGTGTGGTGAAACTCCAAAACCCATCATGCCTCTGCCTCTGGGAGTCATGCCTGTGGCTGTCGGGCTTGCAATGCCTCATGGGATTTGTAGTGCCATGGTTGCCCACTGCTGGTCTGCAATGATGTGACCGGTACAAGCTCTTCTGCTGAAAATGAGGTCATGTGGCACCAAAACCTTCAGCACCTCTTGTAGGGACTCCCCTTCATGCTGGAAGCAGTCAGGATACAAATATTGAGTTAACATTGCTGACTTGTTTCAGTGCTCTGCGCAGTCATCCCCATCATTAATACCTAGCGAGCCGCTAACCTGAACCAAGCACACCTGCTGCAAGGTCAGACTTCACTAGCTGCATGCTTGTTCCAGGTCAGTGACTCAGTGAAGGCAGATCCAAATGAGCCGTAGCAGCAACCGTGACACCGTCCTGGCAGATTCACTTTGGTGTTTACCTGATTGTGACAAAAGCAGAATTTGGGTCTCTTATGCCGATGTTTTGGGTTCTGCACGGCATGCAGTATGTTGCACTCTGCGTGCTTTGTGTTGTAGCCAATGCTATCTATAGGCTTAGATTAACTCCTTCCCGTCAGCAGGTATGGGGCGACAGGCGTTGTGTAACCAGACACCAGACCTGCGTGAGATATTGCGCCTGCGGGGGGATGTGCGCGTGGCGTGATAAATATCTCTCCGCTGTATAGGTCCAGCGGCCCGAGCGCTGCACGTATTCCTGATAAGGCAAGAAGAGAAGAGCAGTAGCCTAAAGCAATCATGTCAAGGGATTCATAATTGCCATCTGTAGCCAGCTAAGACTTCCTGTACCTGCAAAATAATGATCCCATGTCTTTTCCCAGGATCCTCGTCCCCCTGTTCCTGTAATTGGCATGCGGCCCTTACCAGAGGCCTGTGCAAGGCTTAAAAGTTACATTGTATCTAAACATAGAAAAATATATTTACCCTTAGATGTGGCAGGTGCATTCGCTTTGCCTTTTTCTTTACCTGGTGGTCCTGCCAGTAACACACTTCCTGTCCTTGGGTGACAACACACGCCGCTCTGTATCTATGGAGGAGCAGCGTTGTCACCCTGACAGAGGACTAGCCGCCTCCCCCCTTCTCATTGCTGGAACATTGGAGGATGTTCTCTAGTCCACAGTGGTGACTGATAACACTGCTTGAGCTTTCCGTGCATCACAGAGCACAGGAAGTGATCGGCTCACAAGATTCCTGGCAGGATCAACCGGTATTTTTTGCGAACGTATGCAAGTAAATATATTTAACAGACCAAAAGGGAGCAATTAAAGGAAGTTTGATGGTGTTTTTATAAACTTACATTTTATATCGATTTTAGACTCATTTAAGATTGGCATCTCCAGCAATTTCATTTTTTTGGGGGTTTTATGGAGTTAAAATGGCAGCAAACGTTAAGCGGACGGCTGGCAGATTGGCAGATGCTACTCTCCCTGTATACAGGTTCTCTTTTACAGAAGAACTCTGGGCATTTAAACAATTAACCTTTTGCATTGGGGCTACCCCCGCGCTGCAAGGGTTAACTGCTCGTTATGGTCTAGGGCAGTTGTAGCCAAACTGCGGCCCTCCAGCTGTGGTGGAACTACAAATCCCATGAGGCATTGCAAGATTCTCACAGCCACAGACATGACTCCCGGAGAGAGATGCTTCATGGGATTTGTAGTTTCACCTCAGCTGGTGGGCCAGAGTTTGGCTACCCCTGGCCTAGGGGTAAAATAATACTCACCGGATTGTTGGTCCTGCTGGGCTCTTTCTCCCCTGGGCCCGTCATGTTATCGGGTCCATTGGACTTGCCTTACGCACAGCCGGAGCAGAGGGGAAGAGAGGTGAGCAGTCAGCACCGAGGATCGGGTGAGTGTATCTGCTTTACTTTACATCCTGAACCAAGTTGAGCACTAAAGCCGTGCGGTGCAGAGTAAGGGGTTAATTCTTTAAATGCCCGGCATTCCTCTTTAAAGGTGTGCCGTAGTATCACATTTCCATCGCTCCCTATATACTGACAGTCGGGAAGGAGGGATGAAGAATGAATGATTGATGTATTCTGGTGCGGCAAGTCCCTTGGAATGCCTTTAAGTGAATTTACCAGATCTGAGCCCCGGGTGGCACATTGGGGGGGCAGGAAGCGTCACCCCCTCATCTGAAGATTCCCCTGCAGGGGATGGTGCATTGAATTTTTAATGCAAAATTAAAATCTCCTAACTCTGCCATAGACATAAACTTAGAACCGTTATAACTAGGGATGCACCGATATATCGGCCGAAAATGGCACTTTTGGCAACATACATCGGCACATCCCTGGTTTATTTTCTCCCCGCTGGGCGCTGTCCCAGCGGGGGGAAAGAAAGTGACAGCCGGCCGAGCACTGCAGGACGAGAGCGCTGTCAGCGGCCGGCGTCTCTCCTCCCACACCGCTCAGTCGCCTATAACAGTCCGGCAGAGCGGCGTGGGGGCGGAGACGGCGCTGTCACAGGAGGCTGTGACATCGTGTCATGGTATGTTAACTATATCCTCAATTATGAATGAATGGGAAGTGATATACATCACCTCCTGTTCATTCATGATTGTGGTTATAGTAAACAAACTATGTCCTCATGTTATGAATGATCAGGGACACTCAGTATAGAGGATTCCTGTTCATTGATAACAGGGGACACAGAAAAAGAGACTGAGGACTCTGTGTGTCTCCGAGGACTCTGTGTTCTCAATCTCTTTTTCTATTTTAAAAGGGAAATATCAGGGGTCTGTTTTAGACCCCAAATACTTCCCCGAAGCCCCTAAAGTAAAAAATAAAAATATTTAATAAAAAATGAATTCATAAATAAATATAAAAAGTTTATAAAAAATAAAATATTTTAAAAAATAAAAAACATTTTCGCTATCGGTTTCGGCCTGACATATATTTTTTTTAATTTTGGTTTCGTTTCGGTGCACCTCTAGTTATAACCTCACCGTAATATATCTTGTACAGGTATCTGGGTGTCAGAATCCTTGTGGGCACTCCACAATATCTATTTGACGATCTAAACAAGTCCCAAATCTAATGAATATGGGATGTGCAAGCTTTAATAAAGCAAACCCTGGGGATCTACCTGGAGAACAACATGGAAGTGGCCAAACATCATTTGTTTTTAAGGAGATCATCTATTAGGGGGGTACGACCTCCAATTATGTGTTGTGGAGTCTAAGTAGTGATCACCTCGCCCCACATCTCCATTCTTTTTGATGCACACAGCCCTGAAACATCTCCCTCCCCATCTATTTAACTTCCCAGCTCCTTCTGGGTACCCAGGAAGCGGTTGCTATAGCAACACTGCCCACCCACAATGCAGCCAGTTAGGTGGCGGGGACTTTTGCCTTTCCGTCCCACTGACCAATCACAACTGGAGAAGGAGTGGGCGCTCCGCGCCTCCACATGGCTTTCTCCTGCTCTCCGGAGTCGACTCGCCGCTCTGCAGCCGCCACTCTACCCGTCAGTGGAGGTACAGACCGCAAAACCCTGCCATCATCCACCAGTCACGGCGGGGAGATGGCGAAGGTCCTGTTGCCAGTTTAGGTTGTCTGCCACGTTTTTATTGCTGGGCAGGTTCACCCTCTCTATTCGTCCTGTTTGATTTGAC